TTTCAGGATAAACTAACGGCATACCTCAAAGGCGTTACTCCGCCTGGTACGAACGTGTACGCCCGGTCACGTACCTAGCCGTCCACGTCTAGCCCTATCTGTGACCCTTTGGTTCGGGGTCGGGAATGATTAACAAGACATAAATCTGCGTAATTCTTGGTTTTTTTGTCAAAAAGGTACTGTTATTTAACTCTTTTTCCCGTTTGTTTAGGGAAGGTAACTAAATACTGACTGGTCTCTCCGCCCTGTATTATTCCTTTTGAGTTCAGAAACGAGAACCCAGGTGTCAGCCCTTGAAAAACTTAATGTCGGTGGTTGAAAACCCGAAGTACGCGGTGCCGTTTGAGAGTATCCTTATTGTTGTTTGGTCGGAGCCTCGACATGCTCAAGGAGAGAATTTGTAGGTACCCACGCTTGTAGACCAACGACAGATATAGGTTTGTACTTTTCGTTACGTGTATGAAGTTTACTTCGACTGGACAACGTCTAATCTTGATCTGTGGTTTGTCCATCCCAATCCCATATGTCATGCTACTCCGATTTTTACGTCGTAGAGTTGTTGTCGACCTAAGGACGCCGTCTATGGATGTAGTCATACTTTACGTTAGTGGTTCGAGCTGGCAATGCTTACTGTGTAGTGTAAATCGTGGTCTTTACCTGTGTCTACTAAGGACCACAGGGAAAACAACTGGTTTTCTGAATGAGAAAGACATCTTTGTGTCTTGTAAAGTGAAACAAGGAGAAAACAAAGTTAGCGTAACTTTTGTAGGAATAGTTGTAATAATTTCGATAAAGTGTCGTTAGTGGGACGCCCGGTCAGTTCGCTTCGGGAAAAAAATCAAGGAAGTTCTGTTTTGTTTCCCCAGAAGTCACCTTCGCGGGTGACCGTCGCCCGTTCAGTTCGTGACTCGAGACAAACAATATAGAGTAGCGACGTGTTGTGTAACGAACACTGACATGGGGCGATCCCGGAGGTCGACTTTACCCGAACTTTACGACTAGTCTCATAAATTCCAGGGTTACAGTACAGAAAGGCCAAGTAATGGGACAGGGGAACCACACAATATTCAAAAATACGTCGTGTGCCAGGGCGTCTCAGTTTTGGGAGTTTATGTGGGACATCGCTAATTTTGAGATTGTGTCTTTTATGGGGAGGTTTTGCGCACCTCTATGCAGTGACAGGTAACTAAGAGGCCCATGGCTACTACAGTACGCAATGGGCCGTTGGTTTACCTGGTTAGGCACTCGGCAATGCATGCAGGCGCCTCGGCATGCAATTCGGAAGGCGACTACCAGGTTTAACTGGTTAGGTGCCGAGGAGTGTGTGTGTGAGTCACGTCGTCGAGGACTAGAGAGGAGGGACCGAACGTCCTCTTTGCTGTCACCCTAGCCCGCTTTAAGAGAGACGTCTGGGTAAGAGTGTCACAAATGTTGGGAAAAGATGGTTATGTTCGGTGTGAATAAACCAAAAATGAGCCGACACTGGAACACACGCAAGTCCCCACTCAACCTACACAAAGCGACAGCGATTAGTTCTTCGGTGTGGAAGGGTGCCTCGGTCGCACTAAGTGTTGCAGGGCTGGTAGTTCGTGTGACACGAGTGTCCCTCCCACACTCCGCCTTTGACTAACCTCGAATGTTGCTCGGGAATTTCCTATCTCACTTTAAGTCACCTTTNCAAACGAGAGCAACAAGCGAGAGGCATCCGCTCACACAGCAGAGCCTCCAGAGTGATGATTGTCCCCAGGCTTTGTAGTCATCTCCAGCAGGTGTGCGCGGCGCACACCTGCTGGAGATGACTACAAAGCCTGGGGACAATCATCACTCTGGAGGCTCTGCTGTGTGAGCGGATGCCTCTCGCTTGTTGCTCTCGTTTGTGTGCAAATGTGTAAACAGTGGTTAACTTGTGTGGTCCGTGTTGAACAGTGTTATTGTGAGTAGTTGTGCCTCGATTAGGTTAGTATTGTTTGGTTAGTATTGTGTGATAGTTGTACTTTGCCTCAGCTGTGTTTTTTTACCACTTTGACAGTGAGGGTTTTAGTTTCTATTTAGTTCGTTATTACCTATTTCTTTGTATGTAAACAGGCTCCTTTTGTTAGAGTCCTTTCTTTGTTTACATTTAAGCATCTTTGAGTTTCATGAAAAGCGCTGTAAAAGTCCCATGTATTATTATTATTTGTTTGTTTCTTAGTTAAGTCGGCGCCCTTTTGGCCCTTTTGTTTGTTCCAGCTGTGTGCCTTCCATTTTGTTTACCTCTGCTATTTAAAATAAACCCTTTTATAATTTTACCAATTCCAACTGGTGTGTGTTGCATTTCCTCATCCCTAGTGGGGACGTAACACCTTCAAATAGGGGAAACTCTATGTGATTGCAGGGNCTGTTTTTGGTGTTGCAAATAAAGTGCCGTGATTTTTGGAAACTTTGAGCGTCTCTTTTTTAACTTTCCTGTTGCGGCCAACGGGCCGGTCCTAACAAGGCTGCATGCCTTCCATTTTGTTACTCTGCTATTTAAAATAAACCCTTTATAATTATACCAATTCCAACTGGTGTGTGTTGCATTTCCTCATCCCTAGTGGGGACGTAACACCTTCAAATAGGGGAAACTCTATGTGATTGCAGAGATGTAAGTCAGCCGGAGGCAGTAAAAACATTATGTTCACCTGTGATCATAAAACCAGACATTTGTCACTCAGGAAGAATCAAAAGAAAGCACCGGTGCAAGTTCAGGTTTCGCCTTGTAGCATTTAATTCAACCACTTTGATGATCATACTGTATTATTCCCTTTCAAAGGAAACTGTGATTTCCCTTTTGTGGTCTAGGTGGATCTTTAAAAACAGTTTACCAATATATAGTTTAATTATTTAAAATAGCTAAGTAATATACTAACAATGCTGGCTAAAGTAGTTTTTCTTTTGAAGCAGAGAGCTAAAGTTAAGTTTTTTTAAAGTTAAATTAAACCAGAAGTTCAAAATAATCCAAAAGGCGGGATTCAGCTATGAAAGAGTATAAGAGCCACTGAAAACAAAATAATAATAATAATAATAATAATAAAGTCATAATATTCAGAGAAATAAGTTACACTTCAATAAGTCACTCAGAGTCATGTGGACTTCCTGCTGTATGTCTGACAGCTCTGTGTCGCTGACAGACTTATCAATGGGGAGTTGAAGCGTTTCAGAAATGGAGAATGGAATGTTGCTAATGGTTTAGCCTCGTGAGCTAACGTTAGCCTCACGTTAATGTCACAGTTGAAGCGGCTTAGCAGTTAGCGCGTGAAATACCTGCACCGAACAGCCTTTAATGTCTCTCTCCCTCTGTCTGTCTCTGTCCCTCTCTCTCTCTCTCTCTCTCTCTCGGCATCACTGTACATTCCTGCAGTCACTCTGGTGATTTCATGGCCCTTAACCAAACACAAAGACTCTGTTATGGCTCTGAAATAATTCTCTCTTTCTCTCCCATTCCTTCTCTCCCTTGTCATCTATTTCTTCCTCTTCATATTCACACTTTCACCCACACATCCTGTGTTTGTGAGTGTGTGTGTGATGCTGAAAAAGAGTGTGACAGTTCTTCCTCTTTTTGTCTATCGATGTTTGCGCTGCTTTTCACAAATACATACATTAGGATACGGTAAGAATGGCAATATATTTAAGAATTTTGGAAAACTGTCATATTATCAAGAACACACCATCATATGCATTAAGTCTCGGCAACAAAAATGTATAATTTTGTGTAGTTATGCTACTTCCTGTTTCAGTTTACGCTGTTACATTGAAGTTTAAGATAGATTACAACACTGCCTTAAACACAACACCAAAGGAAATACTGCTGCCACAAATTATCCTTTTTAAAAAAGAAAAAGGCAAGTTATTTTTGAGAATCAAAAACATGTCATGATACATGTTTCTTACACACACAAAACACTAACCCTAACCCAAACTGAGGGACACATTATTAAAACAGCATCACCAAATAACTATCTTTACACACACACACACACACACACACACACACACACACACACACACACACACACACACACACACACACACACACACTACATTACATGTATCTCTTTGTTAAGATAAAACCAGGCTCTGTTACACTCCTCTGTAAGGGAGACAAAGAGAGCTTATCTCCCTGTGAGTGTGTGTTAGTGATGGAGAGACTGTGTGTGTGTGTGTTGTGTTTTTTCTCCAATGTACTCATTTAATTTGGCATTGCAATTTCTTACGAGCTGCAAGCTGATAGCTTATTATGTGTATGAGTGTGTTCCTTGGCGTGTGTGTGTGCTGTAAGGGCCAGCATGACATACGTCCGCTTTAAAAATGTCCACACAGAGGTTAGTGGACGGCAAAACAAAAACACTTTGTGGAGAAGAAGGCAATATTTTTGAAGAGCGCATTAAATAATTCAAAATTGTACTTTAGTGGGTGTTTGTGTGTGTGCTAACATCCTTCAGATAGACTGTAAAATAGGAGAGATGGTGTCGGCAGGGGTCAGTTAGCTTTGCGCTGAGTGCAGGGTGGGATGGGTGGAGTATTTTTTGCTGCTGCTTCCCTTTGTGCACACACAACCACTCACACACTTGCACGGGCCGCTAACACAGCGACACAATGAGCAGGGCCTGGCTGGAGCAAGGTGTTTCCTGTGACCTGAATGACTGCTGCGTCACCACAAACAACACTTGTATGAGTTTGCAGAAGTGGATGTGTGTGTGCGTGTGTGTGTGTGTCTGCTAACAGATTTGACTCTCTCCTCCTTCAATTTGCCTTAATTTATTTCTCCTTGTATGAATGTGTGAATGTGAGTGTAATGTTCATCCTTTATTCATGTATTCCAGTGTTTGTGCAGTGAATGAATATTAGATTAAAAGCAGCTCTACATTATTCATGAGCTGAGATATTTTGGATTGTACAGATACGTCCTGAATCCCACTCCTGCTTTTTCAGTCCATTTACTGAGCCTTGATGGTATTTATGCGTTTGTGTGTGTCCCACAGGCTGCACTTGCCCTGCTATGGAAAAGATGAAGAGAATAAAGAAGCGCCTTTCGTTAACTCTGCGCTCCAGTCAGACCATCGACGAGTCTCTGTCTGAGCTGGCCGAGCAGATGACCATCGAGGACGGCGGCACCAAGGACAATGGTAAGAAATCAACGGATCTGGTATGCATTTTGAAAACAAGTCTGTATAAGAAAGAAATTGTATACACAGGATGGACATTTTTGCTTAGAGTCTCTGGTGTATTCCAAGCAGCTTATTTTAATGTAGTTCTTTTTTATTTCTTTTTTATAATTTGTATACATATATATTATTTTATTATTATACTATTTATTTTATGTATTATTATTTCGGTGTTATTTTTTCCTTCATTTTTTTATTTGTATTATCTTTATTAATATATATATTTTATATATATATTTTTGTAAATGGTATTATTTGGGTGTATTTTTATTATTTGGGTGTATTTTTATATACATAAATAATCTGTTATTATTGTTATAGTATTTTAATTTATTATTATTTGGGTGTTTTATTTTTATTTAATTTATTTTTATTTTCCTTTTGTGTAACTCGGAAAACAAAGAAAAATGGTGGGCAAAGCATGTTAAAAACGAATTTGCCCCTCCTTTAAAAAGCTACAACCAATGTTCTCCAATATTGACCCCGTATGAGGATTTGTCTGTCATAGCCAGTGTTGTGCTAGTTACTGAAAACCAGTAACTAGTTACCATTACTTACTAGTTACTTCATTTCAAAAGTAACTCAGTTACTTTACTGATTACTTACATCAAAAAGTAATGCGTTACTGTGAACAGTAACGCATTACTTTTCCCTGTCTAGCAGTCCCTCGGTTAAAATCCAGCCGCTGCTGCTTAGGTGGAGGTGGAGTGGCGTCAGATGACTCTGGGTCTGTGGTCTTAGCTACTAGCTTCGTCCCAGCATGTTGTTTCTGCAGATGTTTCAACAGATTTGAATTGCGGTTTTGGGCAGTAGATCGGATCTTTGACCCGCCAAGACACAACTTACATTTAACTAAAACGTTCTTTTCTTTGTGCTCGACAAAAGTGAAATAGTGAGAATATCTCCAGGCGGAGAAACTCGACTTGAGCTCCGCCATGATAGTCTTGTTAGTAAACACAAACACGCCCACAGCGTGTCTCCGCATGTGACACAGGAAGTATCTAAGTACATTTACTCAAGTACTGTAATTAAGTACAGTTCTCATCTCTGTTCGCCTCGCTGTTGGCGTCGCTAACCAACGTCTGGGAGCCGAGACTATATAAAAAAAATAACGGAGTAACGCACCATGTAGTAACGGTAACTGAGTTACTGAATTTAAAAAATAATGAGTTAGAGTACTAGTTAGTGCCAAAAATAACGGCGTTACAGTCCCATCACTGGTCATAGCGGGGAAGCAGCTACAGGACAAAGAAGGAAAGAGTGCAAATCTAAATATTAAACGAGAGCAATGACACATCTTTAAACTCAATTCTTGTGTACGTAAAATTTGAAATGGAGAAAACTAACAATATATTGATTTAACATGTTGGTATCCGATTTTGGTTATTGGAGATTTGTGATGCATCCTCAGATCCTTCGCAGTTTTTGGAGCAGCAGAAATGATGCGACTTGTTGTGTTTCAGAGCCCTTCATGAGGAACGGCGCCCCCCCACCTCCCACAGCATGCACTCCTTCCTGCACCGGTACACCGGGTCCTTCAAGAAGCCTCCACTCCGCCGGCCGCACAGTGTCATCGGCGGCTCCCTGGGGTCCTTCTTGGCAATGCCACGCAACGGAAGCCGCCTGGGTGAGACACACTGTTCACACTGTTCACACACACACACACACACACGCACACGCACACGCACACACGCACACACACAATAGGATGTGAGTAGTGAAAGCACAGATGGCATGCGGGAACAAACAGGAAACGTGTCATGGTGCAGAGATTTCCGTTCGACGACATATATAATCGGAAACGTGCTCCTGGCCAGTGACTTGGTTTATATCCTATTAGCCAGTCGGACTGTCTACCCCCAACGGACAGCTGGATGGGGGGCGGGGGTTTAAGCCAAACATGACGCAACTGATTAATCACTCTCGATTCGTAGCTGTGAGTCTCAGCCTAAAGGCGACAAGACAATATGATTCATAGGACAGTATGAAACAGAGAAGCAAAGTGTTGTGGCGATCCAAATCTACCAGAATAGGTAGAGCTTCACATTTGAAAGTCACTTGCAACTGCTACTTAAAAACAACAAAATATCCTGTTAGAGGGTATTCGTTTTGATTGACAGTCGAAGATCCCGGAGTCCAAACCGATAATCGTCAATAAAAATACATGGTTGAACTCAAGACCAAAGTAGAGTTCCTGTGTTTAGCTTACCAACTTCTTGGTGAAACCCTGAAGGGTTATACACAGGGGTGCATATAACTGGTACGCATGCGCGGCAACAATCTGACATGCGTACCGTCACTTCTGTCACAAAGCGCAGAGGGCTTCATCAAATAACTTTGAGTGGAGCCAGAAGTTGGAGTACCAAACACTGACTCCAGGTACTCATCTGAGTAACTCACTGAGAAAGTTATGTGCACCCCTGGTTATACATGAAATGATTTCTAAATGGTCTGTGCATAGATTTCAGAAGTGTCTGAGTGGCACACAAAATAACAGGTTATTTTCAGATCCTCACTCAAAAACGTCCCCTTGGTGCCTAAAGCGTCTCCATTGTAGACCTTTGTTTACTTCCCTAACATAGCGACATCACTATGTAACACTCACGCTTCTATTGGCTAATACTCCAACACATTGTACATGATAGACTAAGGGGTGGGACATCTCTAAGCGGTTGACTAATCACAACAGACCCTTCCAGCTAACCAATCAGAGCAGACTGGGCTCTGGTTTCAGACAGAGGGTGAAAAGAGGTGCTGCAGCACGATGAGTGAAAAAAAAACCTTTTTGAACATTAAAGCATGGAGACATGACACAGTAGAGGCACAAAATACAAGTATGAACCTGAAAATGAGCGTAAAAGGGCCCCTTTAAAGCAAACACTGAGTCTTAATCCTATTATTACTCATTTTCAAATTGGCAATTTTTTTTCAGATTGACTGTTACCTTATCTATTTAAGAAAAGTCTCAGGTGTTCGATGTATAGTCATCATTGCTTTCCCAGCCTATATGATTACATGTTTGAAGGCAGCGACACACTAGAAGACCTGTTCTGGACCCTGACCTAGATAGAGGGACTTGGATCAGAAAACAGGAAGGTTAAGTAGGACTTTGATGAACCACATACTGCTGCTACCCTCTGTGTACTTATTAGCAAAGCTTCTACTGTAGATACAAGCAGAGAGAATGTGTCAGTATAAAACAATAAAAAAAACTGGTGAAGAATCAAATTCTCAGAAGTTTTAAGGGAGAGGGAAATAGAGGCAAGAGAAGATAAGCAAAAAATAAAACGAGTTAGTGCACTAGAAAACAGCTTTGGGGCTTTTTGAAAAGAGGGAATCTGGTTTGGCTGTTAGGGCAGAAAGTGAAAATATTATTTGAACAGAAAGAATTTAGGAGTTTTTGTAGGAAATGAGGAAATAAATAAAGTAGCGCGACAGAAGTATGAAGAATGTGAAAGTGAAAGGAGCTTGACAGGAGAAAGTAGTAGGACAGATGCAGCTTAGGAGACGAGGCACACATGTTAGAAACACACAGGTAGCAAAGGAATGTATTAAAGAAACAGGGAGAATCACAACAGCACATTCCTAAGAAAACCTGCATATGAGATAAAAAGATACGAGCCAAGGAGAAGTATGTGGATTGAAAGGGAAAGACATGCAGAACAGGGAAGTGAAAGAAAGGGCGACGGTTATCTGAAGATGGGCAAAAACATGCAAATGAGAGAGAGAAACAAGTGACAGAAAATCAAGAAGGAAAGCGGGGCGAGAATAAGAAAATGACCACAGAAAGAGGAAGTAGATATCACAGTGAGGCTCCTCATGTATCAAAGCAACACAAATTCTAAATGTTAAGGCTCAGGATGTAGATGGCCATCGTCCAATCAGAAGCGGTTCAATCCCCAGTCCCTCAGTCAACATGTAGATGTATCCCTGGGAAAGATACTTGACCTCAAATACCGTGTGTGTGTGTGTGTGTGTGTGTGTGTGTGTGTGTGTGTGTGTGTGTGTGTGTGTGTGTGTGTGTGTGTGTGTGTGTGTGTGTGTGTGTGTGTGTGTGTGGGAGAGCAGGTAGCACCTTGAATGGTAGCCTGGTGAATGCTGAGTTGTGTATATAAAAAGCGTTTTGAGGGGGTCGTATATATTATTTTACAGACCAAATGGTGGATGGATTCATTGGAAAATAATTGAATCCATTGTACCGCACATGTGAAATCCACAACCCTTTATGTATACCTATCCAGAAGAAAAGGAAGGCTTCTGTTTCAACACATAAATAATGAAAATATGGTAAAACAGAGTTGGGATATTACTGAATAAGTCTTCATGGAAAATGTCTCGATACTTTCTTACTACTGCGTCATTATAAACTACTGTGATTGTAAAGGTGTTACCGTAATATCAGTCAACCAGACAGACTGGTTAGGTCAGATTTGAATGAAAGAGACACCTTAATGCAGATTTGTCCAATATTCCTTTATTTATTATTCATAATCTTTGTCATTGTGTTTTTAGATATCGTGCATGAGAACCTGAAGATGGGCTCCGACGGGGAGAGCGACCAGGCGTCAGGGACGTCTTCAGACGAGGTGCAGTCTCCCACCGGCGTCTGTCTGAGGAACCGCATCCACCGGAGGATCTCCATGGAGGTGAGGCTACTCATGCACACAATCACTCAGAACAGCTGACTGCACTCGCCCCTCGGCCTCATGGGAAATTTGAATGTGCCTTTCAAAATCCTGCTGGCATTGAAACACCTGCTCAACTTCAGATCATCAATCATAGTTTCGTCTACTTTACCGTTATGCCCTTTTTAAACATGTTTAGTATTTGTAGTGAAGTACTAATATACTACACAGATGTTACAGAAGTCTCCATACCCTCCTCTTCATCATTTCCATGATGTTTATCATTTCAGGCTCCTTTTTGTTTTTTAAATAACAGCAGCTGCTTTCTAAATACCCAAAGCGTCTCAGATGATAAATAGACTTCAGGGACCCATATGGTACGCTAGACACTTTTACAAGCTCAGCAAATACAATGGGAACATGAGCAACATGTCAGGTGGCTCACATTCCTGCTACTTTTCTAATTTCACAGTGGCTTTGACTATTCAGACACATTCTGGCTGCGAGCCACCATGAATTTCTCAATCATCGGCTATATTGTGTCATACAAACCACCATTATATAAGCTGAGAAATAGTGGTGAATCTCTTTTCTGCTAATAACAAATGTTAGATTTTGGCTTCACAATGAGTTCCAATCAAATCATCTTCATCCTTATAAATATTGAACCTGAGGGTACTTTGAATAGGCATGAGCATCTTAACCTTTAGGCTCATGCCCCCTGCTGGCAGAGGATTGACCGTGACATACTGTATACAACCATTAAGTCATTCTTATTAATATTGTAAAACAAATATATATATATATATATAACAATCTTAGGGGGACCCATCTAGTGTTTAATACCCATGTACCCACATCACCTCCATTATCATAGCCATGTTTGTCCAATAGCTTGATTTGTTGAAAAACTGTACAAATATGTTTGCAATTATGCTAATAACCATAATTTATGATTATTGGAGCCAAATATAGAGTTGGTTTTAAAGACATGTCAAATCAAATCAGCTGGACCCAAAGGTTATATTTAAGCGTTTTAACAATGAAATGAATATCAATGAATTCGCCTTTGACAAACCTTTTGATCTATACTTTCAAAACGTTTTTTTACTTGGGTGACAAAGAGTTCACAAATGACTTTTAATAAAATAAAATAGAAATGCTGAGAGGACAGACACCATTACATAATGAGAGTTTAATTTAAACCCCTCTGTTGTCATCAAAGCTGTTCCCAGAGCAGCGTTGTCATAAAGGAAAAAGCACTGCTGTTTATTTCTGGAGATGCCACGCTGACTCCAACAGATGTGCTCTATTTTTAATCCACTCGTCTTTATTTTTCCCTCATCAGATGTTGTCTCATGTTGCTCCTAGAATAGATATGGTCAGTGACCCTCGAAAAGATATGAGCCCAGTGATATTGACAATGACGGCTTGTGTTGTGAGTGCAGACTGAGAATAATATATATTACTATTAATAGACAAAATGGCCGATCGTTTTGTCTTTACTCCTTATAGAATAGAATAGAATTGGAGGGATGAAACCCCTCTTTAATGGAGGTGAACTGGGACCTCTCCAAGTAGCAGTCCACACTCCATATTTAGGTCTGTTCGGGGACTTGAAC